AAAAGAAAAGAAAGAAAAGAACAGATAGCAAAACAAAACAAGATAAAACAACAACAACAACAGAAAGCCACCCCTTACAATACCCCTTCCTTTCCCCTGCGCAACATTAACCACCTCCCCCTAAAAAATAACCCAAAACCCCCATCACCACCATCACCAACAACAAACAAACACGAAAAACACTAAAACAACAAAACGATACAAACGAACAACATCAGAAATAACGATCAAGAAAAATGCATTAAAAAAATTTTTAAAGCAAAAAACAAACAAACAACAATATTAGCAATAATGATCAAGCAATGTTTTGGTTAAAAGACAACAAACAAAGAAAAGGATCCACATTAGACCCATGGAGAGCGGAGACTCCGGCGCCCATTGCAGCTAAAGCGAATTCCGAAAGGTGAGCAGAAGCAGACCTGTACCTTCCCACACGCCGTGAAAACGTCCATTAAGAACGAAATTTGTCTTGCTCAAATGGGTTCTAAACAGAAAAACATGCCCGCAGATCAAGGTAATATTATTAAGGGGAGCAAAGGCACATGCCGGGATACACGTCAAATGCACACAACACTCTTATAATTATTACCTTCAGTGTTTCTTTTAGCTTTAGTTAAAGTTTTACGGTACTTGTAAAACAATTAGGTAATAATAGTGGCGAAGATTAAAGGTGTAACAAGAGAGTAACATGCACAAACCAGAAGGAGGAGAGACAAGTATGATAGAGGTTTGATAGGAGAGAAGGAGCAAACCACAGCAGAGAACCAGCCAACTACCGACGTCAGTATTTCCCCCATCTATTGATTCCAAACATCGCGGGGCACACTGCTGGTATTGCGACCCCTCTCTGTTATTCCACACAACAACAATCAGCCCTCCCCCACCCCCTGAAACAACACGAGGGTACCCCAGGTGGGGTGAAAAGTACGCTGTAGATCTCAGGTTATATTTACACATGGTCCCGCTGCTCAGTGCTGCCTAGAGTAGGCAATAATGCACGGCGCACCCATAGGTGGTGAAAACACTGATTGTGACTTGACCTGAACGAAGGTATCTGTGCAAGTGGAAGTACAGTCTCTATGTTTCTTTCCTGTTTCTGTTTCTTTTCCTCCAGTTTAAAAAGTAATCCTCTTCTTTTTCTCATTCCTCTCTGATTTCTAAATGGACACCCCAGTCTCTTTTGTGAAGGCTGCGCAGGACTTCCACTACTTCCAGGCTCCCGTAGAGTTTTGGGGCTGCCTGCTAAGGGTTGGGCCAATATTTCCTTCTTGGTGCCTCGAGCACTGGGCAGGTTTGTAGCAGACGGTATTTCTGTTTGGTTGCCGGTTCCGCACCGACACTGCTCAGAGATGCTTAATTAGTTCTAATTTTACAGTGGCGAGTGGCCTTTTCATGAAACAACCTATAGGTACCTCAAACGCTACACGTGAGCATAAACAATTTGATGAAAGTCATAAATGAACTGTCCAGTAAAAGCGACATTTTGCCAGGGACATATAAAACATTAGTAACGATGAGAAGAGCAGCTCATGGAACACAATATAAGGCTGTCTACAAACAACCAAATATATTTCAATGGGCAATTCTACAAAACACACACACACACACACACACACACACACACACACATACGTACACACACACGCAAACACACACATACAGGCACACACACTCACACACACACACACACACTCACACGCACACGCACACACACACTCACACACAAACACACACACACACACACACACACACAAACCA